TTGGTTGGTTGGTTTTGGTTTTTTGGCACAAGAGCCATATAGGCTAAGCTGCGCCATAACAAATGGTAAATAATTATAAACATCACAAATAACAAACATATGACAAAAACAAATAAATAAATAAATAAACAACAGCAACAAAAAAACAAATATATACATATTAATAACAAACAAGAACGAACAAAAAGCTAAAAGATAAATAAATAGATAATTAAATAGGTAAATAAATAAATAAATAATTAAATTTCTTTACACAAATTATTGACTTTTAAAAAGTCTAATATATCATAAAAATTGGGCCTCTGACCCAGAATCTGTTTAAAATTTGCATTTCCAAAATGCTGCCTACGCCTGGTCTCAAAAACAGAGCAATCGAGCAGTATGTGTTTTACAGTAAGAGGACAGTTGCAATACTGGCATACTGGCTGCTCGTCACCCTTCAAAAGGTATTGATGAGTCAACCGAGTATGTCCAATTCTCAAACGAGTAATAATAACTTCAGATCTCCTGTTATAAAATTTCTTGGGTGTCCAATTTTCTATCGTAGGTCTGATCTCATTCAGTTTATTGTGGACTTGTGCGTTCCACACATTTTGCCATCTCTCTGCTAGTCGTTTTTTAATAACTAGCTTGAAATCACCTCCTTCAATACGCATTGTATGCTGTGAAGGACTAGCTGATTTTGCAGCTGCATCTGCTTCTTCATTTCTTCTTATACCAACATGGCCTGGGACCCAACAAAATTTTATAGAGAAATTCCTTACGAGAAGATGGCAAAACAATTTGCGAATTTTAATCACTATAGAGTGAGAACTAGGTTCACACGAGATCAAAGCCTGGAGTGCACTAACTGAGTCAGTGTAAATCACGCATCGACGATGACCTTTTCTGATTACATAGTTTAAGGCTAAGTGGATAGCATGCAGCTCTGCAGTAAAAATAGATGAATTCGATGTAATTTGCTCTGCCACGATTTCATCCTGGCAGACAAAGGCTGAGCCAACATAATCATCCGATTTAGAACCATCAGTGTAAATGGGAATTAAATTCCTGTCATTGTGTTGAATTTCTGCAAAGTGCTGTCTATAGACATAGTCTGGCGTGGATTCCTTAGGAAACTGCTTTAAGCTAAAGTCAACATTAATCGCAGGAGTAGACCAGGGTGGCATACTATCAATCTCAGCCTGTGAAACGTTGCTCATGTTCAGGTCGATCGTGCTGCTTACATTCTCTATTCTTGATTCGTTTTTTGAAACCGTGTTTTCGTATTTATTTACTATTGAACACAAGACTGTGTTATTATTAAACTAAATAATAATAACACAAGACTGTGTTATTATTATTAATTATTTGGACATAGTTATTAAAAGGAATGTGAATAGCTTGGAATTTGAACCCTTCAAAAAGTCTTGTGCCATTAACACAACCATAAAATACGATTCTCATATACCACTACATATAAAACAAAACATCTTCAATATGGAATATAATAAAATTAAAAATAGAACCAGCAAACCCATCAATATGGCCAAACACATATATGATTTAAAAAAGAAATTTATCTTGGATGGATACCCCAATCGATTAATTAGTACATGGGAAAAGAAAATAAATGATAAAATAAATAACAAGAAACATAATCAGAAAAAACAAAGCTCGGATATTAAATATATTAGTTTTCCGTATATAAAAGGTTTATATGAAGAAATTAACAAAGAAATGCAGAAAATAAACATAAAACTAGCACCTAAGTACGAAAAACTTCAAGCCAGAATAAAAGCCAAAAAACAAAATAATGAGACTAAAGAAGAAACCAAGAATGTAGTATATGAAATCCCATGTACTTGTAAAGATACCAATATTTATATAGGTGAAACCAAACGAAAATTAAGCATAAGATTAAAAGAACACATCGCTGATATGAAATATCATAGATTAAATTCAGTTTTTCATGATCATTGCCTATTAAACAACTGTAACATTGATAAAACTAATACAAAAATCTTATACAAAGAAAAGAACACATATAGTAGAAAATTTAAAGAAAGTGTAGCTATAATAAACTCTAAAAATTGTTTAAACAAGAATCTAAGCATTAAAATAAGTAACGATTGGCTAAAAATATTGTAATAATGAAAGATAGTTAGTATGTTTTAGAAAAATTCTAAAAATTTTTTGTAAAAATATTTAATGTGTTCTGTTTACTTAGATACCATTTGCTATTACAAATATTATGTAAAATCCGACCATCATGAATGGTAAAATGCAAATTAGCAATAAGACTCAATATTGTATAATGCCCAGGAAACAAAATTGTTATAATATGCTAAGTGAAGTTTATCTGATTCTGTTATGTGCAAATGAAATGTTGTGAGAAACCATCAAATATATTCATTAAACATTAGAAAGGATTCTGCCTATATATTTATCAACTTTAGTAAGAAGATAAAGGATGTGTCACGGCTACTTAACAGTAAGAAACAATTGTACACAAAAATTAGTATAGTTATGTGCGTTATCAGTATAAGCGTGTATAATTATACAGTGTTTTATTTTTTAATTTAATGTATGTAGGTTTATGTTATCATTGTTATCAACTTATCCTAACAGCAGTAAATAATAACTTGTGCTGTACGTGTGTCATTGAATTTTT